CAATCCGGAAAGTGGCCTGGAGCATGGTTATGGTTGGGTAGAAGAGGTTGGCTGCCAGGGCTGGGTCCCTTGGGGCAGGGAGGGTTCTCACCCGCCCCACAGCCTGGCATGGATTCTGACGGTAGGGTTCTGGGAGCCTCATTTTATACTCCCGTCAGGGAGGAGCATCCTGAGTTCTGGAGGGTGGCCAATGAGGAGATTATCTGGTACCAGCAGGGTGTGGTTTATGGGTGTGATCCCTGAGTCACTGGAGACTGGGGGAAGCAGGCCAAGGATCTCTGTTCCGGGGTCCCACTGAGCCCAGAGTCCAAGGTCACGAAGTTCCGCATCATCTGGGTTCCATGGGACTTGATTCATGCGTGAGGCTCGGCCTGAGTGTCTGGAAATCAGTCTGGAGCATGGTGGTGGTTGGGTAGTGGAGGTCGCCTAGAATCAACTATTGTTGATTCAATTCTACTTCTTATAGTCTGTCTTTTAATTAGAAAATATGTTGAATTTTTTTCAAGCTCTATATTTGCAGATGATATGATTCTATACTTAGAGAACCCTAAAACCTCTACCAAGAGACTCCTAGAAACAAGATTCTTGTATAGCAAAGTTGCAGACTATAAAATCAATGCCCAAAACTTCATGACATTCCTATATGCAAATAATGAGAGAGAAAAAAGTTACATGAAAAAAGCAATCCCGTTCACAATCATGCCTCAGAAATTCAAGTACCTCAGAATCCGCTTAAATAAGGAAGTAAAAGACCTGTACAAAGAAAACTACAAAATGCTACTTCAGGAAATAAAAGAAGAAACGAGGAAATGGAAAGATATCCCTTGTTTATGGATTGGGAAAATTAACATTGCCGAAATGGTAATAATCTCCAAAACATAGTACAAATTCAATGTGATCCCTATAAGGATACCCAAGATATTCTTCAAAAAATAGAGCAAACACTCCTGAAATTCATATGGAACAATAAGCCCCCATGAATAGCTAAAGTAATTCTTGGGAAAAAGAAAATGGGAGGAATCAACCTCCCCAACCACAAACTCTACCATAAAGCAGTAATGATTAAAACAGCATGGTACTGGAACAAAGGCAGAGCTGCAAACCAATGGAACAGGGTTGAATATACTGACACCCGCCCCCAAATATATGATCATTTAATGTTTGATAAGGGAGCAAGAAATGTGAAGTGGAGCAAGGAAAGCCTCTTCAGCAAATTGTGCTGGCAAAACTGTACAGCTACATGCAAAAAACGGGCTCAGATATCTACCTAAGACCATGTACAAAAGTAAGATCAAAATGGATTAAAGACCTCAACATCAGACCAGATTCCATAAGGTACAGTGACGATAAGATTGGAAAAACTCTTCACGACATTGAAGCAAATGGTGTCTTCAAAGATGACACGTCACTGGCGAAGCAAGTGAAAACAGAGATAAACAAATGGGACTATCTTAAACTAAGAAGCTTCTGCACCTCAAAAGAAACAGTGACCAAAATACAAAGACAGTATACAGAATGGGAAAGGATATTCATCCAATATCGTCTGAAAAGAGGTTGGTATCAAGGATATACAAAGTGCTGGTTGAACTCCACAAGAGGAAAACATCCAACCCCATCAAAAAAAAACGGGGTGATAAAAAAACAGAAACTTTCTCAAAGAAGAAATTTGAATGGCTAAAAGGCGCATGAAAAAAAATGTTCTACATCACTAATCATCAGGGAATGAGGATCAAAATAACAATGAGATATCATCTCATACCACTGGTGTTGGTGCGGCTATTGTGAGAATGGGACCCTCCTTCACTGCTGGTGGGAGTGCCTACTGGTGTAGGCACTTCTGGAAAACAGTATGGATGATTCTCAAAAAATTAGAAATTAAGCTCCCATTTGACCCAGCAATACCACTCCTGGGAATATATCCCGTAAAGGCAAAAAAAGTATAGTAGAAATATAAGAATAAAAGTATAGACATCTGCACTTGTATGCTCATTGTTGCACTGTTTACAATAGCCAAAATCTAGAAAAAACCGACTGGATAAAGAAATTTTGGTATATTTACTCAATGGAATACTATGCAGCTGTTAGAAAAAGATGAAATCATAAAATTTGCATACAAGTGGATCCACATGGAAAGTATCATGCTAAGTGAAATGAGTCAGAAAGAGAGGAATAGACATAGGAAGATTGCACTCATACGTGGAATATAAAGTAACAGAACGGAAGACTAACACTCAAGAATAGTTAAGGTAAGTACCAGGAGGTTTACTCCATGGCTTGGAAGCCAGCAGTGCATGCTGGGGGAAAAAGAAGCTCAGATAGAGAAGGACCACCTAGTAAAGGGTGTTTAGAGGATCCGCTCTGGATGGGAGATGCATGTTGAAAGTAGAATACAGACCGAACATGATGGCCACTCAATACCTCTATTGCAAACCACAATACCCTAAAGGAAAGAGAGAGCGAAAGGGAATGTCCTGCCACAGAGGCAGGGCGGGATGGAGGAGGATGGGGTGGGGGGATTGGGAGGGTTACTGGGATCACTGGTGTTGGAGAACGGGCACTGGTGGAAGGATGGGTACTCGTTCATTGTATAACTGAAACCCAAGCATGAAAGTTTGTAAGTCTACAACTGTACTCATGGTGTTTCACTAATAAAAAATTTAAAAATATATATATATATATATTGAATTTTTTTCTCCTTGGAGCTATTGAGAAGATTAAGTATATACATATATTCAAAAAGAAATTAACTGTGGTTTGCAATATTGATACTGAAAATTATCAAGGAGAGAGAAAGATAGAGACAGAGACAGAGACAGAAGTGCTTGCCATCGAGGCAGACTGGTGGGTGAAGGGGTTGGCAGTGATGGGAGCAATGTGTGTACCCTGGTGCTGGGAAATGTACACTGGTGGATTGATGGGCGTTGGAAAACTGTATGGCTGGTATGACTGAAATCCAATCATGAACAGCTTTGTAAGATCTATCTCAGAGTGATTCAGTAAAAAGTGAAAAAAAAATCACTGAGGCCAGAGTGATAGTACAACATGTACAGTGTTTGTATTACATGCAGTTAAGCCAGGTTCTATCCCCAGCATCCCATATGGTATCCTAAGCCCCTCTAGGAGTGATCCCTGAGTGCAGAGCCAGGAGTAACCCCTGAGCATTGCTGGTGTGACCCCAAACCATATACATATAATGAAAAGAAATTAATTTCCCTGGAGCCAGAGTAGTATCCCAGTGGGTAAGGCACTTTTCTTGCACGTGGCTGGCGTAAGTTCAATTCCTAGCACCCCATGTGGTCCCATGAGACTGGCCAAGAGTGATCCCAAAGCAGAGAGTCAAGGAATAAACAGTGAGCATCAGTGTGTCCCCCCCAAAAAACTTAATTTCAGTGTGCCAGGAGAGAGAACTGTCTCTTTCTCTTCCCCTCCTTTCTAGAATATTCCCCTTACTTTTTTTTGCGTGTGTGTGAAAAAAATTCTGTTTTTCTTATTTATGCAAAATTTAAAAATTGTATACAGCATCATAGCAATAGTATAGCAGGTAGGGCACTTGGCATCCTATATGGTAACCAAGCCCAGAAGTGATTGTTGAGAGCAGAGACATAAGTGAGCTCTAAGTACAAAAGCTAAGAGGCTGTATTCTCTGAGACATGTATCACAGTGTGGTTCAGTTCTATTTGAATGAAAACTTATAGACATGGGATATCGCTCAAGGGTAGAGCTGCAATAATATGTAATCATGTTTCCTTACCAGCAGCCTTGGGGATGTTCCGAGTGCCTTACACACACAAAGGCAAGTGCTATACCACTGAATTAGGTCCCCAAACTTGTAATTATGCTTTTCCTACCATTCACTTGACTAAATTTTGTGTGCCCAGTCTGAGCTCAATGTTCTGAATTGATCATCTGGTTTAATTCTTCCAATGACTCCTAGTAGCACTGTAGTGCTGTCCTCCCATTGTTAATCGATTTGCTCGAGCGGGCCCAGTAAGTCTCACAATGGAGATGACTCCTAGTATTTACCATTAATTTTTTAGATAAGAAATTCAACGCTATGAATGTGTCAATAATACTGTCAGGTTCTTATCATAGGAAGTAGATGAGAAAAGGATCAGCCTGATCTCATGGACCGTTTTCTTCTTCACTGAGTGATCTTAAGTTACTAGTCACAAAGGAGATGTGATACCCCAGGCCAGCACTGATAGTAGCCAGGTGCCTAGCTACTTTGGTAGTAGGTTTCTTATGGATATTGTCAACTTTCCCTTTTGATTGTCAACCTTTTGATATAGATAAAGCAGTGTGGAGTGAATGATTTAAATTTCTCCTATTGCACTGCTTTGATTACCCCATGATTTTAATAAAATATGGAATCTGTTTCAAACCTATCTGAAAGCTGGACATAATAACAACTTAACTGTGTCTATAAACAAGCAATGTCAGCTCTTCCAATGAACATGACCTGCTTGAAAGAAAACAAAAGGAGAGAGCAGAAATGACCTAACTCAACAACTGTGTCTCAGGACTTGACTCTGTGTCTGATATAAAAGGTAACAAAAATAAAAGTGAACAATTCATTTTAAAACATAAGTAATCTTCTCTAATTTTTGTATAGTTATAAATAACAAAGGTGTTGACACATTTTCACATGTATAAGATTATGTCTTGATTTTTGCCTCTCACATGAAGTTCTCCCAGAATACTAATATCCAGTAAACAACAAATGCAAAAGTCATCTATCTCTACACTCAGCCTGGAGATTGGAAACCACTTTTATGTCCACATAACATGAGTGCAATCCCACGGTCTACAGTCATTCTAACCTGATCCCTCCCCAATGCTATTCAACTTCCCACTTTGAAAGGAAGGCTCTCTAGGATGGAGAGACAGCACTTTGCTTTTACTGTAGCTTGTAGTACTATTTTTTAACATAGAAATTTTCAGAGCTTTTATATCCACAAAAAGCATCATGTTCAACACACTTAAATAATGCGGTTGCTTACCTTTTCCAGTTTTGAAAGAGCAAGAGAGTAACAGTCTTTGGCTCTGAACTGCATGAATCTCATGTTGGCTGGGTGAGTGAGCTCTGTGATAATACTGAGACTGGAAAACAACCTATGTTAAAAAAAGTAGACATTACACTTACAGTACAGTATGGCATTTCTCATAAAAACATATCTACAAGTGTCTGATTCCTAGTCTTAGGTTTAAAACCATGTGCAATTACAAAAACAGGCTTTGTCACACATAAAAGTATTCTGTACAATGAAAGAAAAACAATGTATTATTCTCTAAACAATATTTTAACCTTTATTATTTGGCTTTTGGGCCATACTTGGTGGTACCCTGTGCTTACTATTGACTCTGTGCTCAGGGATCATTCCTGGCAATGCTCAGGGCACCAGATATAGTTCTGGAGATTGATCCTGGGTCAACTGCATGCAAGGAACATGTCTTATCCAATGTACTGTATCTTTCTGAATTTTAATCAGCTTTTCAATATTGGAGTTTTATCAGACCCTTTATTTTTATGATTATAACATAGCATGGAAGAGAAACTCATACAATTAATTTAAGAAGTTACAAGGTTAATTTGTGGTAAGTCTCCAAAAAAAGACATTGATAAGATAACTACAGTGATTAGCAAAATCTCACATGGTAAGTATACTTTCTGTAATGGGGTATTCTGAAATACAGAACTTATCCTGTGAAAATTTAAAGGTCAATGCTCATTACAATGAACTTCTGAGAAGAGGAAATACCTTAATAGAAATAGCATTTCATTGAAATAATTGGAGCGGGAAAAAAAAAAAAGAAATAATTGAGACCAAGGCTCAATTGACAAACGTGTTCTAAAAGGATTCTGAGAATTATCATGAGCAGTAATTTACATTAGATTTCTTCTCATTCACCTCTAAACACCATTTCCCACCCAACACACACACACACACACACACACACACACACACACACACACATGCACATACTAAAAATTTTTCTTCAAGAGAAAGGTGCAAAACAGAACTATAGCTATTGCCCTTTTTATTGCTGCTATTATTTGTGATCTGATTCTTATCAGGTACCTATGCGTCTTTGAGTAGCTTCTCTGTTTCAACTACTTTGAAATTTTCCGTAGCAACCTCTTTAGGGGAGGATCAGCTTTATTCCTTTTCAAATGACTATTACCTCAGGCATGGCTGTTCACATTTCCCATCACTGGGCAAAGCCTATACCTTGAATAGAGGGAATACAGGGACTGAAATAAACAGGATATCCTTTGACTAAAAACATGTCAATTTCTGCTGCTGTACTTCCTCTCCTCCCAGAGTCTCAGTAAGGAGTCTGCAGTTTCTCTCGACTGGTGCCTGATGAGAGGGGAGCCTTATGGAGGGGAGCATGAAATTCAGAGCTGTGGGATCAATTTCCTAAAAATAATCAACCAGACCTCTCACAATTTACCCAAATAACCTTCTTCGGGTAAGTGGTACCTTGAAACAGGGTGTTGGGGATCAATTTAGTCTCTGTAGCCCCAAAAGAAACTGCTGCTATTGGAAATGCAGAAAACTTAAGAGTAAGCTAAAAACACTGAGACCATAGAGGTGGAGAAGGAGACTTTGCCTTATCCCAGGCCTTTGAACTTTTATCTAGTCGAAGAAGCAGCTGTGGCTGGAACCCTTTAAAACTCAGAGAAAGATGGTCTGGGGGAGACCACTCAGGCAACTTGATCAGTAAACGTGACTTCTCCATCCAAGAAAAATTTGCTCTCAGTAAATATGAATAATCTCTCTCCTTGTTATGTGCACTCTTACATAGACATTTCTTAATACCAATCCCTGGTCGGCCAAATTTTCATTTGAATTTCATGTTTACTAACTTGCTTGATGCTTTGATAGTTCAATAAGACTAAGAGCCCAGAAGTGTAGGAGATAGTTTTTGTACCCAAACAACTCTAAAAATAATTTTTTTTAACTTTTTCTGCTCTCACGTACTAATGGCAGTGGGTGAATTTCTTGGAACACTCCCTGTCCCCAGAGGAGGGGCTTTGTCACCTAATAACCAATTTTATGAAATATTCATCTTTTTTTATCCTTGCTTTTTGGGTTGGGCTGGAGCGATAGCATAGCAGGTAGGGTGTTTGCCTTGCACGTGGCCAACCCGGTTTTGATTCCCCTGACCCTCTCAGAGAGCCCGGCAAGCTACCGAGAGTATCCTGCCTTCAAGGCAGAGCCTGGCATGCTCCCCGTGGAGTATTCGATATGCCAACAACAGTAACAAGTCTCACAATGGAGACATTACTGGTGCTATAATGTGCTTTTTGGGCCACACCCAGTGATGTACAAGGGTTACTTCTGTCAGTGCTCAGGAGACCATAGGCGATGCTGGGAATCGATCCCAGGTTGGCCGCATGCAGGGCAAACACCCTACCCACTGTACTATCGCTACAGCCTTAACAGTTCGGTTCTATTTGTGGCCAAACCATCTCTCATTATCTATCCCACAGATCTGTCTCAGGAGACAGTGGCCACCATCCTAGTTAAGAGATTAAAACCAATTCCTTTTTTTTTTCTTTTTGGGTTATACCCGGCGATGCTCAGGGATTACTCCTGGCTTTGAACTCAGGAATCACTCCTGGCGGTGCTCGGGGGACCATATAGGATGCTGGAAATCGAACCCGGGTTGGCCGCATGCAAGGCAAAAGCCCTACCCACTGTGCTATTGCTCCAGGCCCCTAAAACCAATTCCTTTTAATTCTTAAAAAATTTTCTTTTGTGCTATCTGTGGAAATTGTACGCTCTCTTCATTTAACTTTATTAAAACTTGAGCCTAACCTACTTAAAGCCTTTGAAAATGATATCAAATTTCCTGTGACATTCATTCTTCGTAACTGAGAGAAATTCAGATTTATGTGCCCTTATGTCCATTTTGAAAGCCAATGGTTTTTTTTTAAATATATATATTTATTTATTGAATCACTGTGGGAAAAGTTACAAAGCTTTCAGGATTAAGTCTCGGTCATGCAATGATCAAACACATTTCCCTTCACCAGTACTTATTTTTCACCACCAAGAACCCCAATATACCCCCCGCCACACACACCACTCCCAATGCTTGTGAGGCAATTGAATTCTACCTAACACACTATCTACTTTGATTACATTCATTATTTCGACAAAAGATGCACCATTATTGTTTAGAGATTACACCCAACAATCAGAACTGCTAAAAGGGTATTATGAAATAATTTGTTTTGCACAGTTATGAGGACCATATGATGTACAGATTTCTGCAAAGTAAAGTAAAGTAAAGGCCCTCCCGTTGGTCATCAATTTGCTCAAGCGGGCCCAGTAACATCTCCATTGGAGACTTTGTTGTTACTGTGTTTGGCATATCGAATACGTCACAGGGAGCTTGCCAGGCTCTGCCGTGCGGGCGAGATACTCTCGGTAGCTTGCCGGGCTCTCCGAGAGGGGTGGAGGAATCGAACTCGGGTCGACCATGTTGCCTGCGTGCAAGGCAAATGCCCTACCACTGTGCTATCGCTCCAGCCCAGATAATTACCAAAAAAAAGAGCCAGATAATTACAAGATTGGTTTCTGTGGCTCTGGAGCCATTGCCGGAGAGCCGCTCATGGGGGGCAACTCGTGACCTCGGTAGGGCAAGAAGGACGAGCCAGGAATGCCCCCCTTCCCATGAGGTTTCAGTTGTCCCCTCACCTCTTTCGGCTCATACCTGGCCGAAAGCCAATGTTAATGCATTTCACAAACTAGCGAACTTGGAGCAAATATGCCTAGAATAATACCATCAAATCAGTCATCAGAACATCATTTCATTTGCTAACTTTTAGCATTATTTTATTTTTATTATATAATTAATTGCCAAGACCCAAGAGATAACCAGTAAGGCACTTGCCTTACATGCAGCTCACCCAGATTTGATCCCCGGCATCTCATATAGTGCCTCGAGCACCACCAGGAGGAATTCCTGAGTACAGAGTTAGGAGTAATCCCTGAGCATTGCTGGGTGTGACCCTCCAAACAGTAAATACATAAATAATTAGAAGTAGAGTTATAAAATTACTGCAACTCAGCTGGATAGACAGACAGGAGGTCAGAACTTGTTTCTTGTATGACACTACATATGGTCCCCCAAGCATTGTCAGGGATCATACCAGGTGTGATCCCAAACTCCCCAGATAAACTAATTTTATTTATAGAGTTGACCATTGTTTTCAGCAATTGATCCCCTGAATTAATGATATCTCAGATTCTGCAGTGCAGAGTTTGGTGATGCTTAGTGATCTGACTCATGGAACTTGTGGTGTCGCACATAGAAGCTTCTTAGTTGAGATGGTGCCTGTTCTTTTCTTTCTAATGTTGCAATCATGTTTAAAATGCACTTTCTTGAGAGGGATAGACATAGAAAGATTGCATTCATCTGGGGAATGTAAAGTAACAAAATATGAAATTAATACCCAAGAATAGCTGAGATCAGTACCAGGAGGATTACTCCATAGCTTAGTGGCCAGTCGGGCATTCTAGAGGAAAGGGCAGCTCAGATAGAGAAGGGAACACCAAATAAAGGGTGTTTGGAGGATCCTCCCAGGAGGGGAGATGCATGTCGAAAGTAGACTATGGACTGAATATGTTTGCCACTCAGTGCCTCTTTTGCAGACCACGACACCCAAAAGGAGAGAGAAAACACAGGGGATTGCCCTGCCACAGAGGCAGGGGGGGATGGGGGAATGGGGGTGGGAGGAATATTATCCATGGTGGTGGAAAATGGGCACTGGTGGAGGGATGGGTATCTGATCATTGTATAATCAAACCCAAGCACAAAAAATTGTAAATCTACAACTGTACCTCATGCTGTTTCACTAATAAAAAAAAATTTAAAAAAAATAAATTAAAAAAAATTTTAAAAAATGCACTTTCTTTCCTCTTTGTTTTCCTCCTCATCCTGTGTGTTAAAACCCTAACTGTTATGTAAAGTTCTTCTCATATCTAATTAAAAGAAAATTTTAAAATTAGAATCATTCTCTCCATGTTGAATCCCTTATCGTAGGTTCACGCTGCTTATTGCACAGCATCTTGTACTAAACTCTGGTGGGCTTCATC